TACTTGTTTTACAGGAGAATGCTTTTTTTATAGAATAACAGAGTTGGAAGGGATCTTGGAGGTCTTCTAGTCCACCCCCCTTGCCTAGGCAGGAAACCCTACACCACTCCAGGCAAATGGCTATCCAACCTCTTCTTAAAGACTTCCAGTGTTGGGGCATTCACAACTTCTGGAGGCAACTTCTGTTCCACTGATTAATCGATTAACCGTGATGGAGAACCTATGGCACGCTTGCCACAGGTGGCGTGCGGAGCCATTTGTTAGGGCATGCGAGGCATTGCCCTGTCAGCTCCAGCGTGCGCCAGCTAACCAGCCTTCATTTTCAGAGCGAAAAACAACCCAACGCACAAACCAGAAGTTCGGGAATGGACTTCCGGTTTGCCCGTAGGGGTGTTTTTCGGAGGCTTCAAGAGGGTTCCAGGTTGCCCGTAGGGCCATGTTTCACCATGCCACGCCCACCAAGCCACACCCAGAGAACCGGTAGTGAAAAAAATTTGAATCCCACCTCTGGTTCAGACTGTTCCAACTTTGAAATATCTAGTTTGTAGCACCGTAGGGGAAATGACGTGCTTGGTTTTGGTCGCCCCATCTGCCTAGATCCCCAAGCCACCACAGTTAGCTTGGATGCTCACATGCTCATCAGGCAGGTTGAAGCATCACCCGGGCCCTCCTCATGTCAATTAATGAAACCATCCGAAAACACCAAAAGCCAAAGAGTAAATTAGGCGCCACGGAGCAGGCAAGGAAGCCGGATAATATAAGAGAGGTGCAATTTGTGTAGCTCCAAGCAATATCCTCACCCTTCTGGGCGCACGCTTGAGGATGAAACAGAGACGAAGATGCGGCTAAGATGATAATTAAATGCACAGAGAGAGAATCAGCTCCGCTTTGACGTCAAACGTTTTTGCTCAAATCCTCCAGGAGTTACGCCCAACTCCCCCAACCCAACTATGACACGTTGAGATTCTTCCAAGCTGAGGTCTTTATTGTTTTCACACCTACAGACAGACTCTTGCTAAACTGAAGTAGCTAATTATCTACATTGAGCCTATACGGGTAGTCCTTGACGTACAACCATTCCTTTTTGTCCGTTTGAAATTGCCACGGCCCTGGAAAAAGTGACTTACGACCGTTTTCCCACTCTTAACAACTGCTGCAGCATCCCCACGATTAAAACTCGGATGTCTGGCAACTGACTCATATTTATGGCGGGTACAGTGTCAGTCCTGGAGTCACGCGGCCCCCTTTTGCAAAGTTCTGACAAGCAAAGTCAATGGGGAAGCCGGATTTCACTTAACAGCCATGTTAATAAATGAACAACGGCAAGGGTTCGCTTAACAACTGTCTCAAGAAAAGTCATAAAATTGGGGGGGGGGGGAGGTCACGTAACTGTCCCGCTTAGCAACAGAAATTTTGGACTCAATTGTGGTTGTAATTGCGGGGACCACCTATGCTTTGGAAACTATTAAGGAGGAGTTGTCCTCATCCTCTTTCTCTCACATGATATCTGGGCTTAGTTGCCTCTTATTCCTCTGGAATTGTGGGACGCGGTGGCTCAGTGGCTAAGACACTGAGCTTGTTGATCAGAAAGGTCGACAGTTCAGCGGTTCGAATCCTAGCGCCCTGCATGGACTTTTTGCATTAAAAAAACCCCACCTTTTGATTTATGGTTTTGATTATTAGGATAGATTACACAGTAGAAAGAAGAGAGTCATGATGTAACAGTGGAAAGACTGGATGGAAAACTGTGATCAAGTCACCCCACTCCTTCTCTTTGTTAAGACTAGATTTATCCAATTCCTGCAACTGTTCTTAACGTGTTTTAGCCTCTAGCCTCCTAATCACCTTTGTTGCTCTTCTCTGTTTCCGAATCTCCACATCTTTTTGCCTCTTTCTTTTGACATTTAGGGACGCAGTAGCTCAAGTCGCTGAGCTTGTCGATCAGAAAGGTTGGCAGTTCAAATCCCTAGCGCCGCATAGCTGAGTGAGCTCCCGTTACTTGTCCCAGCTTCTGCCAACCTAGCATTCCGAAAGCACGTAAAAATGCAAGTAGAAAAATAGGAGCCACCTTTGGTGGGAAGGTAACAGCGTTCCGTGAACCATCGGCATTTAGTCACGCCGGCTACATGACCGCAGAGACGTCTTCGGACAGCGCTGATTCTTCGGCTTTGAAAC